TGATTAGATTCGTCGCACTATCTTATTTCTGTTTAAGTTGTAGACCGATTCTTGATCATTTTCGGCCGATTTCAGATCCTTTCTGACGCCAGCTACCGACGAGAAGCTCCATGTGGCAACTCATTCCAAGTCACTTGGGTGACATGTTCGTTTGCAGTATCACTCTTTCTACCTTGTGTCATACTTCATCATCCTACTTCCCCACTGTGTTGCCTTCCTCTGACTCGTCGTTATCCGGTATCTATCATTTTTCATAGAGTATCACCCTTAGGGAAACGTTTCACATGTTGCCCGTCATTACAGACCATTTCGCATCCTACATATACTTGGAACACTGGTCACTTAAATCTTTTGAGAGGTTGCGCCACCCAAAGACAGTGCGGTTATTAAAAACTTCTGAACTTTATCGCAATATGAGGAAATTCTGGTCAAAGAGGACTTTCAAAACTGTTTTATATATAAAGTGGTACACAGTGGACTCCGATGTGTTTTGCATGAGAGCCCGTACACTATTAAAATTACAGCTCCATTCAGCTAGTTGCCTTCGATCTGTTTCGCTCTGAAGGTCCCGTCGACCAGAGGAAGGTCGCTTTTACTCACTGACTATTCAATACAAATATTTGATGAAAATTAGCAACTTCTTAGGTCAAGAGTGTAGACGTTGCTTCTGAAGCAAGCACCAGTCAAATATACACGGCCTATTATTATACGAACAATGTACTGCAACTTCAGAATTCTGAGTTTCATGGCAAGCGAAACAGGTTCCAGTTTTTCTGCAACCCAACTACTTTTGGCTCACTAGCAACAAGCTTGCGCAAAAGTGTTCCCCATCACCGTGAACTAAAAGTATCGCCAAAAATGTACCACAAAACAAGAAATTTCTAGCACACACATTTGAAAATGCTTTAGTAGTCAGGAGATCTCTGCTTCTGTGAAATGTTACATGTGAAATTTCCTCAGTTTGTGGTCGAGTTGTTTGCTGAGATTGGAAATTTTCTCGCGCCATTCGATCTAATCTGCAATTTCTTTGTAATTTCTTAAACGCATGGTGCTAGCGTGTCACAGCCACATAAATCTTTATATTGTTTATAAACCAAGTGGTCCTTTGAGAAGATTGACTTCATTTCCAGACAGAGCGCTTAGAACAGCGTTATTTACCACAAAAGGCCGCAGATGGGAAAGTTTGATTTTGATGACACTCTTCAGATCATTTGATCGCTTTTATACTATAAAGCAAACAATAGTGCAGAACATTCGTCGCCCTGATATGAGAGTTAAATAAATCAAACTATGCCAGGGCAGAAATCGCAATCACTCTAGTAATCCATCATTTTGCAACTGGGGTGGGAGAGGTAATATTACTAGGATAGGTCATCCGCACAATCGTGGTTTGTGACTTCTCTTATCAGGCAGCGATGGATCCCAAAACCGAATAGCCATTCCCTTGAAAATGACTGGAATTTGACTCTGAGGTGCCTTTGTGCATGGTCTTTGTCCACCGTAGTTGGGTCGGAACAGGGTCGACGCGCTTCAACTATCAGCGTCTTGTTCATATACTCCGTGACACCACTGATCACTCCTACAGAACGAGTTTCTTTTTGTACACTTAGGAATACTCCTGTCCGTACTCTTAATTTGGCTTGTCTCAGAGGAACAACTGAAAAAGTCAACACAGAGGACAGTCGCAGAACCAGGCATACTTTTATGTTTTCATGATGAAGCTGGCAGCGATGAAGACATGAAATGTTTGATCTGGTACACCATTAGGTATGCACTGCTGATGAGCTCTGATAAGAGCAAAACTCGAGTCTAGTGATGCCTCGTTTCGTTCGGACTCGCCAGAATAGTTGCGCTAGGACAGAAGGACGATCGTTCAAACGAGAGTCACGTGAGTATGTGTTCTACAAAATCCCGCAATCACGAACACGTGAAATAAACTACTTGTTACCTATGTGGTGCCTTCACTGTTTTCTTGAACCGGTCCTCTAACAAGCTCCCAAAATAGGCATCACCTAACCATTTCAGATGACACTACTTTATCCATAGAAATGCTCTCCATAACCTCTGATCATCCTGGGTCAACGGCTCAATGACTTTTGTAACCGCTTTTATTCCTCTTTTTCCAGTAATGTCTTTCTTCCGAAAACCACCACTTCAAGGTGAAATTGTTCTATGCCCCAACTTTAGGGTTTTTTCACTAGAGTTCAATGTATAACATTTCATGATGTGACGTTGAGAACGCTTTCTGTTCCCAATTCACCCAACTGCCGTTCTTCTTTCACGAGGGCACTATAATTGAGTTCTTCTTAAGGAGATGCTTCAGAAGACAGCTGTCAGTTACCGAACCCCTTGCCATCTACGGTACGAGTTTTAGCAATGTTTTGGATGAAGTTGTAGCAGCAAGACGTTTGGCACTTTCCAATTCACTTTGTGAATTTTTGCCGAAATCCGCCATCCCCTACATCGGTCACGTCGCAATTCAAACTGCCCCCCTCTAGGAATTCCACAATCGTAACTTTGTGGTCGTTACTTGGATTGATTTCTACTCAGCCCTACTTTGTTGCTCATTCTTGTGTACTTGTTAAAGCCCATACTGATGAATGCATCAGACTTCCCTCTAAATTCGTCGCGTGTAGCTTACCATTTTTACATGACGCCGTTGAGAATTTGGATCTTGGTGCATAGAACTTCAGTCCCATCGAGTTGTTTCGATGTGTAGGTGACATCGGCCACCACAAGGACCACCACACTCAGTTTGTACTTTAACTCATATGTCAGCAATTTAATCCGCTTTGCCGAGACCATCTCGTAGAAAATACCACTTTTCTGTCTTCTAACCCTCGTGTTGTCTCTCTAGAAAAAAAGTAGCTATGTTGCGTTCAGTACTGTCTCGCTTAGGAGAGATTTTTCTAGAGAGGAGTGAATGTAATGTTGCCTACGTAAATTTCAACTCAGTCCCTCTAGTCGCTACATTCAGCTGTCCCATAAGCCTACAACCTCAAAAGGATACATCACCGCTCACAGAGGCACATCTGGGGAATGGACGGTGTTTTGGACTTTTAAGGATTCTTTGAAAACGGTCAGGAAATCGATCTGTCGCTGTCGCGCCTAATTATTCATCTGTGACCTGGGACTGAATGGTAATCCACACAAACCTACTGAGGAGGATCAAACACCCCAATTACTTTAACCTCATTACATTAGGGCAAGTTAGGTCAACTCAATCTATCACTCCATCTGATTGACTCTCCTCGAAACTGATGTTTGTGAAACTTAGTCACTGATTTCTGATTCCAGAGCATTCTCTCTGCTTGTTTTGGCAGGACACATTGAACTAAAAGTTTCCCGTGATGTCCCTATCCCAACTTACACGAGACTACTTTGCGTCACCGACTGCGTTTGGCTGACTATCGAATCAGAGTTGGTTAGAAAATGTTGTATTCTGGACGTTCACTCACCTGATAGCAACCAGCAAACCATCGTCCTTCTGGTTCCAGGCGAACAGCTCCACCAACAGCATCCACTGCCAGACTGTTAATAACCCGCAGCATCCGATCAATATCCGCGTGATATGTAAAATTGACCATGTTTCGACCAACTAATATGTATTTCGTTGAGCCTTTCTTACTGAGCGCAAGCCAAGTAGAAGCAACATCTTGTTCTCCCCAGTGTAGTTTGGTATTGGACAGTTCCAGATCAGTTTTCGTACCAGTCCCATGTGATTCACGAATAGCGAGAGATATTCCAATTGAAGGATAAACTGAACGTATTTGTCTGACCAAGTCCTTTCCTTGTTCATATGTATCAGAATAGATCAGTACTTCGACCAATTCCTCCCTAGGAATGTGATCGCAGGGTATAATTTCGTAAGCATCTCCAAAGTGGTCCTCATCGGATTTTGATTCGCCCCACTTCTCTGGACAAGCTTCCAGCTTTCCGGTACCATCAACTGGAGATCTATCACGAAAGACCTGAGGTCTTATTTCTTCTGAATTCAAAAGCTCCATGATACGGTTGATGATTATTTGAGTTCCACCTGACCTCGTTGATCGATATGCCTTCACTAGTTCCCTTTGGATCTGCGCATAGTTTTCTCGTGGTATAGAAATGGTTTGTCCATTCCTGAAAACACAATACAAGGTTTGAACATAGACCCTATCAATGCAAAAGCAGCGATCAGGTTAGTTTTTGACCCCAACTACGCACATCAATGAACTACGGTAGATGGGAATCCACAAGACATAAAATGCGGCAGTTGGCTTTCACCGATAACATCGTATTACTGTATTTTATGCCTACCGGTGAAAGCTGACTCACTGTAGTGTAGTCTACACTGTTATTAGTATTGATGCGTCTCTCCTATGCACTCAAACGCCCTTGTCAAGCTTTTTCTGATACAGCGCCAATCACTATCTCTGGTACGTGTAGCTCAATGAACGACGATCTGGGCTTCATCAATGGCTCCGATTCTCGGCTAACACAAATCTGTGTGTTCATTTTTTTCAAATGCGTTACTCTTGATAGCGCTATTGTGTTTGGTTATAGGTCTAATGGTGCTGAACGCAAATGAAGGAGCAGCTGTGGGCAGCTGTCGGACTGAGGAGAATATATCGCACGCCTACAACGCCTGCACCCTAACCCTAACCCTAACCCTTATTCAACCGTGCATGCATCCTTTATGTCAAGACTTTCAGTGTAAGGCCTGGCGGCATTTGCTTCTGCTGGCAAAGTAAAATACAACTCGTTGCACCGTTTTTCGATTCATTACATTAACTATTCAACGACACCTAATGAAGTCTGTCTTAATACACCGTGCCTTACATTAAGTACTTCTTTTATTTTCCAAACCTCTGGTTCGTCTTCTGAATGAACTTTTGAAGATTCAACAGGTTGAACATTCTGTCGGCGTTAATTTGATGACCTACCCAAATACTGTTATTGTGCTTTCTATCTGCTAATTAAAACAGCAAGCTTCAAGCTGACATTTTAGGTAAAATGATTAAAGTTTATTATTGGGCTGATTTCCGTGATCAGCCTCAAACTGATGCACAAAACAACCAAACGATTGAAAAAACAAATTACAATATACTTTCTTAAAATAAACTAAAGATTGGTAGACCGTTAGTTTAGCAGGTCTTAAGTGGACATTATCGCTGTCATTAAACTGAGAAAGTTGAATTCCCTGCAGTAATGATTTTAAAATAGATGTTTGCCGAATAGATTAGTTTGTGCTTCCGCGGTAAAATACGAATGCATTATTCAAGACGACATCCTCATCTAGAAATTTATTGTAAATGTAACTTCATTTGCAGGCGGTTTATGACTTTGAGCTTTCAAATATTAAAACAAAATACAACCGATGTGCGAAAATCTTAATTGTTCCTTTTCTCAAGTATAATATTGAACGGAACTCTGACAACTTAAATCCGAATCACCAAAAGAGGTGAACTCTCACGAGATCTTGTGGCACTCACTCCTGTCAAAAGTGAGGCTACTTTAGAAAAGCGCTCCACGATGCACATATCTCGTACTTTACGTTATTATTAGTGTAATGCTAACCTAATTATGGAAGTTCGGGACATTTTGTGCTCATACGTATGAAGATCCAACATTCCGAAAGATCTATCGGAAAAAAATTGTTGTTGTGGTGCTGACATGCAGTCTTTGTCTCCGCGGCGAAACCTGTAGCAAATCTAGTTCCGCTGACGGCTTTATGCTGAGAATCAAGACATCGACCTGAAAGTAGCACGCGGCTGTTTTTTAATATGCAGAATTTCAATATTCTTTCATTTCCGACTGGAAATATTCACTAGCTAAACGAACACGTAGAAGACATATGATGAAGTTGAGGTGTATCCTGATTGCTGTGCGCATCGTTTAAAACCACGCCATTCTGTGAAAATCTGTGTTGTATGTGACGTCGAGCGGACTTCACCACAGGTTTGGATTTTGCGTAGGAAAACAACATTTGTTCACACCTCTGTTTGCCACCAGGCTAAGGCGACACAGTGCGAGCGAAACTCAGAATAAGCAAAGCTATTCTAACAAAAAGTAGCTGCTTCGTCAGATGGGTCGGCCTGACTAAAATTCAACCAAAGCAGAGGTTATCACTTTGAATTCACTGAAAAAATGATATTCTGCCCCCGTGCCAAGGTTAATTTGCATATTTTAGCAGGCAATAGACGTAAAAATTTCATTTGCCACAGAATGTTTCATCAACCAGAGCATTTGAAGAACGAAAAGAACTCCAGCTGAAACCAACACTAAGGGAAGTTTCCAGGGACCAGCTGCCTGAAATCTTTTGAGTAAGGTTAGTACTGTTTAGGCAGACCATTTTACCAGGTTGAGGGGCATTCCAAGTTTGTTTACTAAGCCGGGTTGTACAAAATGCAGCACTCTAAAACGGCAAACCTGAATCGTTATAAGACCATTCAGTATAAGGTGACTCAATTCATTCTCTGTTAAACGAGTGACTTCTATATTGGTTGAGGTTTCAGGCGGCCCCGAAAAACCGCAAATGTCTAGATACTCATGTATGTGATAACAATCCAATCAACAGGAATTTGTTCGTGCAGCACGCGAAATTTAGAAAAAAACACTTTGTGCTGAATTCTTACCAGTCACTTTCGATAATTTTCCTGAATGTATTGCGAAATGAAGCAAAGATCACATGCCTGACATGCGCGCATTTGATAAATACTTGTTTATTGTTTCCGCAAGAGGAAGAGCGTTCGTGGTCAGATACTGTAGTCTAGTTTATTTTGAGACTGTCAGTGATTTGGTTTAACCTTGATGCACGTTTTGAACATAAAATATACGAACGAATGCATCCAACATTGGTCTAATAATTTCTATAGACATTTCTCAGGAGGTTTCGGTAAGTTACAAGCAATTTTTGCGTTTGTCAACGATACGCACATCCGAAGGCAAACTGTTTTAGATAAAATGGTTTAATTCAACCTGCGCGTGTTGACTAAATTTACCGGAAGCATTCACGTGGTGCAACTTTGCGCCTGGCCCTCCAGCATGATTACCAATTATTTAGGTCGATTCGTCTGCACTCTGTCCTGTATAAGCATTTCGATTACAATTTAAAAGCAGGGTTACATTTATTTTTACAAGTGTGAATTTTATCTCTCGGGTATTTGAATGGATGAATTGAATTTGAGTTCTGAGTTCTGAAGTGTTTATGTTTTTTTTTGCCAGGCCGCGTTTTTAACGCGGGGATTTCTAAAATAGTATAATATTGCTTGGTGGTGGTTTGTAGGATACAGACGTGTGTCCCATTTGACATTCTGTTTTCATATCCCGAACAAAAATATTGCTGAGTGTCCATTAAAAATAGGTAGCGCCGGACTCAAGTCATTATATCATGTATATTATATATGCATATTATATATATACATACTTTACTCTATCATCAGTGCATATCTTCATCGCACATGTGATATAAGAGACGAGCGTGTAACCACTAATCCAGCGGTAAAGGCTGGACGCAGCTGAATGGTTTGGTTTAAAAATTGAATATGTCTATGATTGACCGAGGTGAACAGCAAGCTCAACGCCCAATGACATGCCTTGATTGGGTTCATCGATTTATCCACGTGTGAGAATTCCACAGTCAGGTGTTGAACCACTAGAATGATTCTACCAAAACAAGGGACCGTTGTTTGAGCGAGAGTCATGTGCGTGTGCATTCCACAAATTTTGCAGCGAACAACAACTAAAACTGAATCTGTCCAGCAGGTTTGAAGCCTCTGTGGAACTACCCGCCAGGCGGGTAATTCAATTGATACAACCAAGTTATTTCACTAGGTTGTCGTTCGGGGTAACGGGGTTTGTGCTCACATTGCACAAGCACAGTTATACTAACTTACTTAGTTGCAAAACTTATAGTATTAGCCGTATAAATCCAACGATTGCTACCCGGAATGCTAATTGATTTCCCCTGATACTGTGATGACAAAAACAACGTACTATTCATCGGCAAGGGAAAAATCACCTAGATAATGTTTGACTATTTCTTTTTCTCCATAAGATCTCTTGGACCAAATCATTTAATACAGCTTTGTAGATTTTTTCCTTGGAGTTCATTTGTCACTAAATACAATGATTTATGCACGCGCAGTTTGGTGTCCCTTGTGAGATGGTGAGACCCTGCATTATTAATATCATTCGGCAGCGTGAAATATCACATGTGTCAATAGCTGTTCAATTTATTCGCGTTTGTTTTTCCAACAAATTTTAGTTTCGCATGATACAAAACACTCTTGAATAACTGATCAGTTTGTACTCGATAGCACAACGAGCAAAAAATCAGTAGCACTCCCACTTTTAAATAGATCAAATGAAAAAGAAGGCTTCTTTGTAACGAATGTTCTGTAAGCTCAGTACGCACTAAGCTGCAAGTTAACCGTACCTTGAAGACGAGACAACTGTTCTTCTCTTTCGTCTGAAATTATTACATAATAGTCGGTTTAATAAATTTTAAAGAAGCATATTTATTCTAGCTGGGATATAGTCCACACGGTGGGAGCTTACAGAGAATAAGATCATCAGACAGTCCGTCACGTTTGTCGGATATGCAACGGACATTTGTATCTAAATAGTCTCTGACTGATATCATCATTATAATTTTCATGTATAGAAAACTTGTGATGTTAGAGGAAACGCTTTTGCATGTCTGAATGTAGGAAATTAGGAACTTTTTCAACTGCATACAAACGACTAGCTAGCAAAAATTGTAGGTCATTGCGTTTTCAAAAAATTGGGTGGCTCCTACACTATCACTTTGAAGGCACAGAAAGAAAATTCACGGCCAGTAACGTTTTAAACTATGAGCTTGATAAATTAAAAGGGTGCGCATAATTGTTGGAGAATTAGTCACTTATCTCTGTCGAGGACCACGAAACCCAACAAGTTGTTTAAAAGAGGGCAAGGTGGGAAAATTTGCAGCTGCTTCTGAAGACGTAAGTGAAGTGAGGATGACCAGTTCGTTGCACACACACAGTACATTATGCGAGCTTATAGCGGTTTAAGTGCGACTTATCAATATGTGACCCAGAAGTGACTCTCCTTGCTCCAAAATCAAGTGAGTATTATTTGCAACTAAATGCACCGTGGGTAACTTAACACTTTGAACATTCAAAATGTGCGCGTATTGGTTGAGAATAAATGTAACGAGCCGCCATACTTGCCAATTTTGTTAAATGTCCACTGACTTCATCTGTATGTGATTGGAGAAAGTATTTAAAACGCGCGTCTTCTTGAGGTAATTAACCACTTTAGATTAAAACAGGCAGAACAATGTCTTCATGGACACGACATTGTCGTGCCGCATTACATTCCAGAATTTTAAGTTCTTTCCGGTCAGTTTTTGTATACGGGCCTAAGTTTACCTCGTGCAGCGATATTTTTCTAGCATTTTTCCCATTACATTAGCATCTGGCCCGTGACAGCACTTGGGTTCCCGTAGTTTTTGCATAACTGAGACCATACTAGTACGATGATTCAACTGCGCAAGGAATGCTATTGTGAAGTCATGTCAAGGCAGTTGTGTATACAGATCAAAAGGTAGGGGTAAAATTAGCAGTTCTCCAACCAGTATACTGGAGAATACATTGTTCATAATGCCGTCTAAATAGATTACTGTGCAAGAGTATTGTAGTATTTTCGGAACACAAACCTCTCCGATTAGTGTGTAATCAATTCTGTGTGTACCACGTTTCATCCTGAATCAGCAGGTAGATGAGATCTAGGGTGAACTCCCGGGGTGTACAGCGTCTGAGGGAGTTTTGCAGGTAACGTAACTCCAAACATCAAACGTTTCGCTCATCATAGTGTGGTCAAGAACCCAAGAACATTGCACAAAAAGACGTAATGTGGGATGATAGATTATCTGTCAGGTGTCAAAGAATCTTTGACAATGCTGCACAGTTAGAGGAAGAAAAATGAACACCCACAGATTTGTAATAATGTCGTGCCAAAAAGAGAACGCTTTCAGATGAAGGGCGTTAGTTGAAGGTAAAACTGTTTTAAATATGACACCACTCATGGCTGCTGGTGACTGTAACTTTGAGTTAATTTATATCAGTAAATCACAAAGGCCTTTTCGCTAGCGTGGAAAAAAAGTTTTTCCATCGCCGGCCCTTCATCCGTAGAGGTATCAGATTGAATTTTTAATTTCAGGTATTAATACTAGGTGTGATTAGAACAAATACATAACGACCAATCACACTGACGAACGAAACCATTTTACTGTATCTTCTTTGTTATGTTTACCTATTAAACTAAAATTGTCAAAAGAAAATGTGCTATAGAACACTAAATACCAATATATAAGCAATACCAAAATGTGTTGTCAATCATTTGTTTGGCTTTGTAACTAGCGCTTACAGCTTTTTCTATTTTCACCTTCATGCAGCATGTTTTGTAAGCTGGGAACGTTTGGAGATGCACTTATTGTAATTCTCAGTGCCTAATGTTTCCGAAGACATAAGTATCGTAAAATTACATTCAGCGATACAATGAAAACAATGGTAATTTTACCATATCTGAAACGCACCAACTACCTCTTTTCAGCATCCTGTAATTTTCAAAACAAAAATGGGTG